ACATGCCCTAGTCTTGATTAACGAGTTTCTTCAAGGCAAATTCAGAGCTTTCTTAGTTCTTGTATCCTGTAAGATACAGTGTGCCAGTCGAACTTCAGCATTATCCCGATTTGCTTCAAGTTCTTCCTGATGGGCTAATTTCAATATGTTTTAATTCTAACATTGTGCAGTGAGGTTTAGAAGGCTAAAACAAAAGAAATTATATATTCATTTCTCAACGTCACTGTGTTTTGTTCACTTTAAGTCCCCTAAGCCTGACTGCATCGTGTTAATTTGAACATATTGAAATTGGAATACTATTTTATTTTTCTATTCTGAATTAACTTAAGGTACAATACATGCATCAAAGTGAAAATTAAGTGTAGTAAAGAAAAGGATCTAAACATGCAAATCTCTAATACAGTTTGTTTGGTAAAAGGTCTTGAGGTGATGTCTTTTCTTGCCCATATGGTGTGTTTTTGACGTGTTACAGTTCAATAGTGGTTGTGTTGTTTCCTTGTGAAAGATAAGTACAAGGAAGCTAGCCATTTCATTGTACAACTAAAATTCTTTTTGTGGTTTTCAACCCTTAAGAAGGTGCTGGCTTCTAAACAAAGTCCTGTAGCTGTGGGGTATTTTTGGTAGAATTATGTGTTCAGCGATTCATGATTGTTAACTGTATAATAAAGTGAAAAATAAGAGTTTTTATAAAAAAAAATAGCTTAAACAAGTATAATTTTATATTGTACATTATTTTAAGGAGTGAGCTGTATATTGCAGTTAAATTATTAACAAGTGAATATTTTAAGGCTTGTTTGTCAGATATTCTTTGAGCATTCGTGTATATTTTTAGTTGAGTGAAAATTCAACTTAGATTGAAGTAAAAGTGGAACCGAACATAAGATAACACTGAATATTGATTAAAGTAGTACAGATTGTGTGATTAAAACAAGGCTTTGACATGGCTGAAGTGTGTGAAAAGCATGGTGACTCCAGTGATAGTACATTGGACTGTGGATTGAGCACCTGGGCTTTTGAGTACTGGCCATTGTCTGGGGCGGATACACGATTTTAGAGAAGGGGCAGATCTAGGGGGAGGGTGCAGGGGGTGTGCACCCTGTCCCCCCTGAGATGACATGCGGCTTTTTAATATACAACTGGTATTCTGCCCCCCCCCCAAAAAAAACAAATTCAGGTATGCCATTCCTTAGTAGTGCACCCCTCCTAAGAAAAATTCTGGACCTGTCCCTGTAGAGAGGGGGGTTTAGGATAGGCAGTCCCCTATGGGGGTCCTCAGAAATGGGATTTCTGGCATTCTGATACCTATGTTAGCGTGTTATAATGTCTCGTACTTTTTTTTAATTTAGGGGGCTTGACCCAAACCCCCCTAGATCCACCCCAGATTGTGATGTGTTGTTGGGCCAAACACTTAAATCTCACAATGCCCCTCTCCACCCACAAGCATATTAATCAAAAAGGTATCAGTTGGCTGAATCACCAGCCGCTGTTTGGGAAAGGAACCTGCATTCTCCCCCACCCCCAAACTCTGCCGCGATCTCAAGGAAGAACACAGACCGGACTCGAGTGAGCGGCAGAAATTGAGCCTAAGGTATCGGCAAACTGTGGAGGGTAGGCTGACCAAATGGTGGGTGGAGGTAAGCATTGTCAACCTTTACCTCATTTCAAAGAAGCCATCCGTGACCAGTAATCAACCAGACATGAGAGGTCACCAATAGTTTTTTCAGGTGTTCTTTTTTGGTTAGGGTCTGTAAAAATGATAAGTTTGCACAGAGCTTGAACAGTTCAAAAGCACAGCAAACCGGTAACTTAGTAGATACTTTACTTAGCTCACAAATTAGTTTTGGCAAATTTCTTCGAAAGAAAATGGTTTGTTGTTGATTATCTGATATCTCTTTTCCTCTGTGTTAGGCAGTTACAAGTGATCTCACCCTGATTCACCAACACCCATGTATCCAGCAGGGATGGTGATTAATGCTTCTTTTGCTTACAACACTGGTTTGTCTTGCAAATAGATAGGGATGACTGCTACTGAACCCTACATGTCTTCAGGGCTGGGCGAGTCCAGGAGATGGCTGATATCAGATCTGAGATGCTTTGGTAGAGCATAGTTTTGGTATAGTTAAACCACTTGCATTAACATAAACAATGTTTTACCCAGATTCCACTCTTGTCAACACTGGGAAATCTGGGTACAAGAACAAAGACCTTGATCCAAGCCAACACTACAGGCACACAAATATGGCATGAGAGTTATGCTTTTATCCACAATGAGGTATTGTCCTCTTCATGCATTTGTAAGTTGATGCGACAGGGGTTAAAATTAGGAGGGGAACTGGAATGGGTACTAATAATATTGTAAATAATTTAAATGCTGTTTTGGCTATCTTGCAGGCATTAGGACACTAGATATTTTGCTGGGAAACTAGAAGTGATACATCAGCACCTTGCAAAAAATAATGTAGGTGATGCATAAAATTATGTTATTGGTGCAGTAAGGAAGCAACACATGTTTATTTCACCAAGAAGAAAACAGTTGTATAATTTGCTGATTTGTTGCCTCATTTGAAGAACAACTTGAAAATATACATTTTTTCAATTTTAATGATAAAATATTATCTATTTAACTAAAACCAACACTGAACAAACAATGCGATTCAATTCACGCTAAATTATTTGAATGTTTAGATCAGTTCTTTGAGCTTAGAAGTATTGCTTTATTGTCTCATTGTTTTAGGTTCCCTTTTTAACTTTGCAAATACTCTTATCACTTATCTTACATAATTATTTTATTGCATAATTCTACAGTTCGTGACATTTTAAAGTATTTTTATTGTAAGAAACGTATTTATACTAATTTTATATATTTTTATTTGCACTTGAAAATGACCTCGTAGAGGTCAAAACGTCATGACTTTTTGTTGTTAGTTTTTATTGCAAAATCGATTTCAAAGAAATCACTCATTAATAATTATGTAATTATAATGTAGTTAATACAAAAGTAATGATACAAATTCTAATAATAATATTTTGTAGAAAATTTTATAAAAAATAAGACAGTGTAGTTTGCACATTTAAAAGATTGTTTTGCCAACAATGCATTGGATGGGGTCAGCTTAAAAAATTTGGTTTGAAGTTTCTTATGGTATGTTACAGTACATGTACTTGACTCATACAAATGATGCATTTTTGGACAGCTAAATGGACTACATGTACCATGGAATCCTGAATGTACAAAGGGTCATTGGTTTTGCTTTAACAAGCTTCTCAGATCACAAGTTTTGGGAAAACAATACATCTAAAACCAAGATATATTTAATATTCAGAAATTTATGCTGCATCACCCTTTACTTTCAGGATTAACTACAGTACATGTATGCTAAATATTAACTACTTATTTACCAAGAGTGTGGTCTTTACAGGAAAATCTCAAACTGAGCCTTTGCGGTATTGACCGAGGGATACCAAGATAGATATGGCAACTAGAGGTTTGAGATTTTCCCATAAAGACTGAATGTGCGAGGTAACTAATAAGTTGTTTATTATCTGGCTTTTTGCTTTGTTTTTGCAGGCCCCTAATCAGCCTGTTGGCATTGCAGGAGAATAATGCCCTAGAATTAGCCAATCGGAACATGCATTATACCAGTTCCTAACACAAGCCATATAATAATGAAGAAATACTGCATACTTGGTAAGTAAACAACAAATATATTAATATGCAGTTTCTCTAAGTAGCAGTATCCTTTCTCTTTGACCTGGAGAAAACTATATTTAGTTATCAGAGAAGCCATAAATCAATAATGGTTTGTTTTCTATTGCTTGTTATTATCTTTGAATATTGTAATAAAAATGTTATGGGTAACTAGTAAATTGGTGCCATAAAAAATGCTACGGTCAAACCTCTTTAATAGAGACACCAAAGGGCAGATGTGAGTGTCCTTATTATGGAGGTAGACGTATTATGGAGGGTAGTATTAAAATATGAATTCTGTTTTTGCTGACTGTCTGTAATATAGAGGTAACTGTAAATTTATGGCTCTGTAAGGAGACTGGTTTGATTGTATTATTATTAATAAACTATTATTATTTTTAATAAAAGTTTCTATAACTTTGGAGATTAGGCAGATGTCAGTTGTGTGGGTATCTGTAGCACGTGAACAGAACCAGAGTGGAAAGCTTTGTAAGAACTACGAGGAGATGAAACAACCAAGTTTACAGCTGATGAACCCCTTGATGGCACATTGAGAAATACTGCTCCCAAGCGGGACCTCTCCTGCGTATAAAATGTTACAAACATTTATCAGTTAGTTGACTTTTAACAACTCTTTAAACTACGGTAGTAAGCTTCTTATCTAATCAATCACAGTGGATGACAAAGAGCAGCACCCCTACCCATGCACCCAAGTGGGACCTTTCCTGCATTCGAACTGTTACAGATACTAAGCAGTTAAGTTATTGATTTTTTAACAACTCTTTTAACTCATGAGTTTTTTGATCTTCTCAGTCACAGCAGATGATGAAGCACAATATAATCCCCCAACCCCACCCCACATCCATCCATGTGTAGTTTTAGATTTAAAGAGTTTGTTTAATTTTGATTTTAGATTTTTACAATTTGTAAATTTTTCTAGTTATAGTTTAATAGTTTTTGTGCAAATGACCCCACAAGCTTCTCAACTTCAATTCTTATTGTTTTAAAATAAAGGCTATAGGAGAATCTTTGTTTACAATATTTGCCTCATTACCATAAGTGATACAGTTTCTGATGGAGCTACAAATAGATTAATACTGAATATTGAAAGGGCACAGCAGAATTAACTGTCCCAAGGAATGTTACACCCGAGAGCCAAAAATTTCACCACTTACTAAGTTTCACGAGCTCTTTAAGTTTTTCTAGTAAAATTGTGTCTAGCATGATGCCTTTTATGCACAAAGTCGTATGTTAATGAGGAAATTAAATGTAAACAATGACGTCAGCAAAGATTTGCCTATACATGTATCTATCTACTAGTAAAATTATCCCTGTGGAACTCATTAGTTAGCAGAAGGCCTCTGACTTAAATCTGACACTAAGCAAAGTTTATTTTCTGAAGTTTACAGTATGTGACATTAACATTGGGCATAATGGTTGATTATGTTTACATTAATAGGAGAAGAACAAAAATGCAAAACCTACCTCAGGGCTTTTTACCGTGAAAGATGCCTGTGAGAAGAAATATTTAACTCAAAATATTATTGTAGATTCTTATTTGTAGGTGTCATTACCAAGTATTAGACAAATATAAATCTACTAGCATTGTATCACAAATGTCATTTGCTCATTGGCCACGCCACTCACTATCTATTCTGTTGTAGATAGTGAGTAGCCTGACTGAGTGTGTGGTTGTTATCAAAATAATGGCCTATTCTTTGCATTTTCGAAGTGCCTGTGAAGAGGATTTAGATAAAGTTTTGAACGACAAGTAGATTTATACTAAAACAGTAATATTACTGATTATTCACTCTCAATTTCTATGCATGATAGTTGACTTGGGCTGCGCCCTCATCAACTATAATGATCACGCAATAGAAATCTCGAGCTCATAATCTAATTAGTCGTCTATTATTTCTTTAAATTTACTTTTTTTAATTACCTTTTCTCCAGGACATGGATCAATTTTCTGACATCCTCTTGTGGCATTTCCAGATGGAAAGGAACTTCCCCCATAGAACACGTACAACTCACCTTCCTCAGCTAAGAAACAAAGTAAGAAAAATATAATAATTTTGTAAACTTTACTTTTATTAACAGTGAAACATGAATATTTCTGCCAAGTTTCACTGTTACTTATAAGTCAGAGTTGAAACAAAAGGGCACATAACAATGTACAGATACCTAGCATTACACGCCGAAAGGAAGTACATGCAGACACCAAAACAAAATTATAAGTTTCTGCGTGCATTGCACATCTATCTAATTCAGTAACAATATTATATTGTTAGTTCATCAGGAACAAGAACTTAAAAAACGTTTGGCTGGACTAAGATGAGGGCCTTAATAATTATTATGCACCTCATGGTGTGACAAGAATTGATGATGATGGACTAAAAATTATGAAAATCCTAGGACAGACACTGCCCTACCCCTAGAATGAGATTCTTAAATACAAACCTCCCTTTAACTCCTCAGTGATGTCTTCAGTTCTAAATGGTGCAGAGAAGAGCAAATCTTCGACACCATCCTGGTTCACATCTGTTAAAGCCAAACTCCAACCAAATCTGGCAAAACTACGGTCACCTTCAAACATGGCGGCATAACTTATGTCTTCAATGGACATGTCATTTCCATGTTGAAGAACAGTTGTCAGGTTTATCATGTAGATGGCTCCAGATTGGTCGAACTGGACTGGCATATCTTTCAAGTAATCCAGGTAGCCCTCAAGACCTGAAAAAGAAAAAAATTAACATTATGATTACTAAAATTGATATGTGTTTTTTAACATTTTAATTTTTGCACAGTAAATGCAAAAATTTTCATGTAAGTGGACAGATGGCTGAGACCAGACATAAATAATGAGTAGAAGAACCTCACCAATGTTCCAAACTTATGTTTCAGCTCATCGTTATAAGGGATTCATAAACTTCATTATATGCTATGACCCTGATCCTCGCCCCCAGGGCTACGTGTTTTCCTTTTCCTCACATAACTTCGAAAAAAAGCGAGATTGTGCAATGCTGGATATAAATTTTAAAATCGCAAGAGGTCACATGATCCATTGAAATGTTTTTTTTTCATACATAGAATCATTTTCTTTTGTGTAAAATAATTTTCAACAATTTTGACTTGACTCATGAGTCATGGACTCATTCAACTCATTGATACTTTACTCTCTGATCACTAACAGGAACAACTAAACATGCTAATAAAGGAAACTTACTCAGAGTCGTGGCAGAAACTGCTAGCATATCATTGTCTTTGTTGACAAAACTGTTATTATAAGGATTCCCCACAGCAAGGCTGGAACCCAATTTCATAAATGTCTTGTGGCCAGTTATGGTTGTAAGGGGCTGGGGTGTGCCCGTCAGGGCGAACTGAAACAAGTAAATTCTTCCCACACTTTGTATGTCATCCTTGGAGTAGCTGCAGTCTTTATTGGCACAAAGCCTTCACAAATCAAGCAAAAAGCTGGTATTAGCAATCACTTGACTATTTACAATAATGAAGTACATCCTGCTTTAGATATGTTTCATAAAATAATTAGCTTACAAATTATTTAATTTATCATGAGGCCAAAATTGAAATATCATATCTACAATTTAATAGGCCACTCTCAAGTTACCTCCAGTTGTGTCTTTGTTTTCAAAAACGAGACTTCATGCAAAACCTTTCAAATGAAAATGAGTTTGATTTTCATGAAAATGAACCTGCAGGTGGAACTCATTTTCATATGATTGGTTTCAAACAAAGACTCGTTTTGACACAAAGGCAAAAGGCAACTCAGAAATAGCCTATTCTCACATTGCTCAGTATTTCCTCAAGTTTTTCTTGCAATCACGAAACAGATTGTAAGGAAGTTGTAATTAAAAATCATTTTGAGGTCTCTTAATCTAAATTTTATTTTCAAGAGATAATTTATCTCTTGCTGGCAGAAAAATACTCTTAGAAGAATGAACAGATACATAATTTTGTAAGTGTGAATGACAATTTTGACTCTCCCTTCCTGATTTTCAGAGGATGCATGGTGGAATTATAATTAGTCAATGCATTGGATACCAGACCTAGTGGCAAGACCATAACCCTTCCAGTCCAAGATCCAAATTTATTTTCTCTTTAGAGATTTTCATACAATTCTTGTCAAACTAGTTCTAAGAATTTTGTAGTTCATCAACTAATCTCCTCAAGTTGATTCTTGCCTTTATTCTCATTACCTCTCTGCTTGACAATGTACTAAGATCAAGAAGAGAAATCAGTTGTTGATCACTGTTGGAAATTCATTTACCTGAATGTTGGTGCAGCAATGACTAGAAGCATCTTTCCATTTGTGTTGGCAACAGTCACTGAGTAACCAAACCAGCTGTAATTTTGTTCACCAAATGCCATCCAGTCAGCATCGTGTACAGAAATATCCGACCCGGGTTTTCTCTGTGTTTTGGCTAAAAACACCACAACAGAGCCCCTCTGAGGACCTCCTTCTGGGGCATATGGAGACCCTATTATGAGGTCCTTAAAGCCATCGCCATCAACATCAGCCCCCAGGAGAGATGTGCCAAGGTTGTAATATGTCCCATTGCCATGGATTGCGAGGCTTGGTTTGGTACCAAGTCTTTCTCCTTTCACCCCATAAAATAGGTACACTGTACCTGTATACTGAAGATCATTGGCACCTGCAAAACAAAACTTGTATTTAAGTCTTTCTGATTCTGAAAGCTATGACAGCATGGCCTGGGGGATTCCCATATAAAAAGAACGGGGGGGGGGNAACGTATTTATACTAATTTTATATATTTTTATTCGCACTTGAAAATGACCTCGTAGAGGTCAAAACGTCATGACTTTTTGTTGTTAGTTTTTATTGCAAAATCGATTTCAAAGAAATCACTCATTAATAATTATGTAATTATAATGTAGTTAATACAAAAGTAATGATACAAATTCTAATAATAATATTTTGTAGAAAATTTTATAAAAAATAAGACAGTGTAGTTTGCACATTTAAAAGATTGTTTTGCCAACAATGCATTGGATGGGGTCAGCTTAAAAAATTTGGTTTGAAGTTTCTTATGGTATGTTACAGTACATGTACTTGACTCATACAAATGATGCATTTTTGGACAGCTAAATGGACTACATGTACCATGGAATCCTGAATGTACAAAGGGTCATTGGTTTTGCTTTAACAAGCTTCTCAGATCACAAGTTTTGGGAAAACAATACATCTAAAACCAAGATATATTTAATATTCAGAAATTTATGCTGCATCACCCTTTACTTTCAGGATTAACTACAGTACATGTATGCTAAATATTAACTACTTATTTACCAAGAGTGTGGTCTTTACAGGAAAATCTCAAACTGAGCCTTTGCGGTATTGACCGAGGGATACCAAGATAGATATGGCAACTAGAGGTTTGAGATTTTCCCATAAAGACTGAATGTGCGAGGTAACTAATAAGTTGTTTATTATCTGGCTTTTTGCTTTGTTTTTGCAGGCCCCTAATCAGCCTGTTGGCATTGCAGGAGAATAATGCCCTAGAATTAGCCAATCGGAACATGCATTATACCAGTTCCTAACACAAGCCATATAATAATGAAGAAATACTGCATACTTGGTAAGTAAACAACAAATATATTAATATGCAGTTTCTCTAAGTAGCAGTATCCTTTCTCTTTGACCTGGAGAAAACTATATTTAGTTATCAGAGAAGCCATAAATCAATAATGGTTTGTTTTCTATTGCTTGTTATTATCTTTGAATATTGTAATAAAAATGTTATGGGTAACTAGTAAATTGGTGCCATAAAAAATGCTACGGTCAAACCTCTTTAATAGAGACACCAAAGGGCAGATGTGAGTGTCCTTATTATGGAGGTAGACGTATTATGGAGGGTAGTATTAAAATATGAATTCTGTTTTTGCTGACTGTCTGTAATATAGAGGTAACTGTAAATTTATGGCTCTGTAAGGAGACTGGTTTGATTGTATTATTATTAATAAACTATTATTATTTTTAATAAAAGTTTCTATAACTTTGGAGATTAGGCAGATGTCAGTTGTGTGGGTATCTGTAGCACGTGAACAGAACCAGAGTGGAAAGCTTTGTAAGAACTACGAGGAGATGAAACAACCAAGTTTACAGCTGATGAACCCCTTGATGGCACATTGAGAAATACTGCTCCCAAGCGGGACCTCTCCTGCGTATAAAATGTTACAAACATTTATCAGTTAGTTGACTTTTAACAACTCTTTAAACTACGGTAGTAAGCTTCTTATCTAATCAATCACAGTGGATGACAAAGAGCAGCACCCCTACCCATGCACCCAAGTGGGACCTTTCCTGCATTCGAACTGTTACAGATACTAAGCAGTTAAGTTATTGATTTTTTAACAACTCTTTTAACTCATGAGTTTTTTGATCTTCTCAGTCACAGCAGATGATGAAGCACAATATAATCCCCCAACCCCACCCCACATCCATCCATGTGTAGTTTTAGATTTAAAGAGTTTGTTTAATTTTGATTTTAGATTTTTACAATTTGTAAATTTTTCTAGTTATAGTTTAATAGTTTTTGTGCAAATGACCCCACAAGCTTCTCAACTTCAATTCTTATTGTTTTAAAATAAAGGCTATAGGAGAAACTTTGTTTACAATATTTGCCTCATTACCATAAGAAATACAGTTTCTGATGGAGCTACAAATAGATTAATACTGAATATTGAAAGGGCACAGCAGAATTAACTGTCCCAAGGAATGTTACACCCGAGAGCCAAAAATTTCACCACTTACTAAGTTTCACGAGCTCTTTAAGTTTTTCTAGTAAAATTGTGTCTAGCATGATGCCTTTTATGCACAAAGTCGTATGTTAATGAGGAAATTAAATGTAAACAATGACGTCAGCAAAGATTTGCCTATACATGTATCTATCTACTAGTAAAATTATCCCTGTGGAACTCATTAGTTAGCAGAAGGCCTCTGACTTAAATCTGACACTAAGCAAAGTTTATTTTCTGAAGTTTACAGTATGTGACATTAACATTGGGCATAATGGTTGATTATGTTTACATTAATAGGAGAAGAACAAAAATGCAAAACCTACCTCAGGGCTTTTTACCGTGAAAGATGCCTGTGAGAAGAAATATTTAACTCAAAATATTATTGTAGATTCTTATTTGTAGGTGTCATTACCAAGTATTAGACAAATATAAATCTACTAGCATTGTATCACAAATGTCATTTGCTCATTGGCCACGCCACTCACTATCTATTCTGTTGTAGATAGTGAGTAGCCTGACTGAGTGTGTGGTTGTTATCAAAATAATGGCCTATTCTTTGCATTTTCGAAGTGCCTGTGAAGAGGATTTAGATAAAGTTTTGAACGACAAGTAGATTTATACTAAAACAGTAATATTACTGATTATTCACTCTCAATTTCTATGCATGATAGTTGACTTGGGCTGCGCCCTCATCAACTATAATGATCACGCAATAGAAATCTCGAGCTCATAATCTAATTAGTCGTCTATTATTTCTTTAAATTTACTTTTTTTAATTACCTTTTCTCCAGGACATGGATCAATTTTCTGACATCCTCTTGTGGCATTTCCAGATGGAAAGGAACTTCCCCCATAGAACACGTACAACTCACCTTCCTCAGCTAAGAAACAAAGTAAGAAAAATATAATAATTTTGTAAACTTTACTTTTATTAACAGTGAAACATGAATATTTCTGCCAAGTTTCACTGTTACTTATAAGTCAGAGTTGAAACAAAAGGGCACATAACAATGTACAGATACCTAGCATTACACGCCGAAAGGAAGTACATGCAGACACCAAAACAAAATTATAAGTTTCTGCGTGCATTGCACATCTATCTAATTCAGTAACAATATTATATTGTTAGTTCATCAGGAACAAGAACTTAAAAAACGTTTGGCTGGACTAAGATGAGGGCCTTAATAATTATTATGCACCTCATGGTGTGACAAGAATTGATGATGATGGACTAAAAATTATGAAAATCCTAGGACAGACACTGCCCTACCCCTAGAATGAGATTCTTAAATACAAACCTCCCTTTAACTCCTCAGTGATGTCTTCAGTTCTAAATGGTGCAGAGAAGAGCAAATCTTCGACACCATCCTGGTTCACATCTGTTAAAGCCAAACTCCAACCAAATCTGGCAAAACTACGGTCACCTTCAAACATGGCGGCATAACTTATGTCTTCAATGGACATGTCATTTCCATGTTGAAGAACAGTTGTCAGGTTTATCATGTAGATGGCTCCAGATTGGTCGAACTGGACTGGCATATCTTTCAAGTAATCCAGGTAGCCCTCAAGACCTGAAAAAGAAAAAAATTAACATTATGATTACTAAAATTGATATGTGTTTTTTAACATTTTAATTTTTGCACAGTAAATGCAAAAATTTTCATGTAAGTGGACAGATGGCTGAGACCAGACATAAATAATGAGTAGAAGAACCTCACCAATGTTCCAAACTTATGTTTCAGCTCATCGTTATAAGGGATTCATAAACTTCATTATATGCTATGACCCTGATCCTCGCCCCCAGGGCTACGTGTTTTCCTTTTCCTCACATAACTTCGAAAAAAAGCGAGATTGTGCAATGCTGGATATAAATTTTAAAATCGCAAGAGGTCACATGATCCATTGAAATGTTTTTTTTTCATACATAGAATCATTTTCTTTTGTGTAAAATAATTTTCAACAATTTTGACTTGACTCATGAGTCATGGACTCATTCAACTCATTGATACTTTACTCTCTGATCACTAACAGGAACAACTAAACATGCTAATAAAGGAAACTTACTCAGAGTCGTGGCAGAAACTGCTAGCATATCATTGTCTTTGTTGACAAAACTGTTATTATAAGGATTCCCCACAGCAAGGCTGGAACCCAATTTCATAAATGTCTTGTGGCCAGTTATGGTTGTAAGGGGCTGGGGTGTGCCCGTCAGGGCGAACTGAAACAAGTAAATTCTTCCCACACTTTGTATGTCATCCTTGGAGTAGCTGCAGTCTTTATTGGCACAAAGCCTTCACAAATCAAGCAAAAAGCTGGTATTAGCAATCACTTGACTATTTACAATAATGAAGTACATCCTGCTTTAGATATGTTTCATAAAATAATTAGCTTACAAATTATTTAATTTATCATGAGGCCAAAATTGAAATATCATATCTACAATTTAATAGGCCACTCTCAAGTTACCTCCAGTTATGTCTTTGTTTTCAAAAACGAGACTTCATGCAAAACCTTTCAAATGAAAATGAGTTTGATTTTCATGAAAATGAACCTGCAGGTGGAACTCATTTTCATATGATTGGTTTCAAACAAAGACTCGTTTTGACACAAAGGCAAAAGGCAACTCAGAAATAGCCTATTCTCACATTGCTCAGTATTTCCTCAAGTTTTTCTTGCAATCACGAAACAGATTGTAAGGAAGTTGTAATTAAAAATCATTTTGAGGTCTCTTAATCTAAATTTTATTTTCAAGAGATAATTTATCTCTTGCTGGCAGAAAAATACTCTTAGAAGAATGAACAGATACATAATTTTGTAAGTGTGAATGACAATTTTGACTCTCCCTTCCTGATTTTCAGAGGATGCATGGTGGAATTATAATTAGTCAATGCATTGGATACCAGACCTAGTGGCAAGACCATAACCCTTCCAGTCCAAGATCCAAATTTATTTTCTCTTTAGAGATTTTCATACAATTCTTGTCAAACTAGTTCTAAGAATTTTGTAGTTCATCAACTAATCTCCTCAAGTTGATTCTTGCCTTTATTCTCATTACCTCTCTGCTTGACAATGTACTAAGATCAAGAAGAGAAATCAGTTGTTGATCACTGTTGGAAATTCATTTACCTGAATGTTGGTGCAGCAATGACTAGAAGCATCTTTCCATTTGTGTTGGCAACAGTCACTGAGTAACCAAACCAGCTGTAATTTTGTTCACCAAATGCCATCCAGTCAGCATCGTGTACAGAAATATCCGACCCGGGTTTTCTCTGTGTTTTGGCTAAAAACACCACAACAGAGCCCCTCTGAGGACCTCCTTCTGGGGCATATGGAGACCCTATTATGAGGTCCTTAAAGCCATCGCCATCAACATCAGCCCCCAGGAGAGATGTGCCAAGGTTGTAATATGTCCCATTGCCATGGATTGCGAGGCTTGGTTTGGTACCAAGTCTTTCTCCTTTCACCCCATAAAATAGGTACACTGTACCTGTATACTGAAGATCATTGGCACCTGCAAAACAGAACTTGTATTTAAGTCTTTCTGATTCTGAAAGCTATGACAGCATGGCCTGGGGGATTCCCATATAAAAAGAACGGGGGGGGGG